CTTCCATCCATACATCCATCCATCCATCCATCCATCCATCCATCCATCCATCCATCCATCCATCCATCCATCTATCCATCCATCCATTCATAATTTTTTTCATTCAATCCATTCATCTATTTATCAACAACCATCTCTTCATCTATTCATTCATTCATCCATCTCTTCATTCATTCATTCATTGTCCCACCATTCTCTTCCAAGTTTCTCGGTTGCACCACCATCGGTCTGAGCATCTACATTCTACTGGACAAGGTCAATTTCGTCACTGGACTTTTCGGCCCTACCCTGGCCGCACCCGGCTCTTACGTCATCATTACTTCCGGTTGCGTCGTTTTCGTCATTTCCTTCATCGGATGTTTTGGCGCGCTTTTTGAAAGTCGTTCGTTGTTGGCCGTGGTCAGTCAATGTTCTTTGTTGTTGTTATTATTATTATTGTTGTTATTATTGTTATTATTATTATTGTTATTGTTATTATTATTGTTATTAATGCCCCTAGTACTCAACACTCATGTCCGTAGTTCTGGCTCTTTCATGTGTTGGTCTGTCTTTCGCTGTCCTATTCCGTTCCACTGTACGTTTGTACGTCTATGTGTATGTGTGTGTGTGTGTGTGTGTGTGTGTCTATTATATGTGTATGTGTGTGTGCGTGTGTGTCTATTATATGTGTATGTATGTGTGTGTGCGTGTGTGTGTCTATTATATGTGTATGTATGTGTGTGTGTGCATGTGTGTATTTATGTATACATGTATGTGAGTGTATAAAATTTCAAAATGATATTGCCCTATCGGATATTTGACAATCGAATCATAGCTGACAAAACATTTAACCGAACGAGTCATAATAACCGACCGAGTAATATTTAGCCGAATATTTAAGGTTACGGACCAGATCCGAGAGTACATGAGACGAACATTGAAGAACGACTACGGCGTGAACACGAACGAACAATGGAACAAGTTCGTCACTGACAGCTGGGACAAAGCCCAAAATAAAGTCGGCCTATAATAATAATAATATTAGTAATAATAATAATAATATAATATAATAATAATAATAATAATAATATAATAAAATAATAATAATAATAATATACCGTATTTTCACACTTAATTAATAGTGGCAATGCTGTGCGGTCAAGGATGACACATGGTCCATATACACTGAGTCTTCCTGGTACAACAAAACCATCAATCCATCATCGTCGTCGTTGTCGTGGCCACAACAGCCACAACAGCCACCACTAACATCATCATCCTCATCATCATCATCACAGGCTCCCATGATCCCGACTTCCTGTTGCAAACGTGACGGAAGAGGGAACTACGTTAACGAGCTATCCTGTCAGCTGGGATTCACTCAATGGAAGAATATTACATTAACAAACAACAATAATAACAATAACAACCATAATAAGAATAAGAAAAACAGAAATAATAATAATATTAATAATAATGAAGATGATAATGATGATGAAGACGATGAAGATGTCAGGTTAATTCTGGGCAGAATATCGAGTTCGGCTTTTTTCAGGAGTATCGTCAATACGAAGGTTTATTATTATTACCATTATTATTAGTAGTAGTAGTAATAGTAGTAGTGGTAGCAGCACTTTTTTTCTCGCATAACTAAGCCCCAGGCAAACAGCTCACTATTTATGATCTTTTTCTCAATTAGTTCCGCTTTTAAAAATACCCCAGGGATGCTACGAACTCGGAAAAAATGTCGTCCAAGAAATCGCCGGCTACCTAATATGCATCGGAGTCGTCACAGCAACCGTTGTTGTTAGTGTAATAATTATAATAATAATAATAGACAATTATTTTATTATTATCACTATGGTTCTTATAATTTTGATTGAAATCTCTATGTGTATTGTTGATACTTTTGAGAATTAATCATGATGGAATTAATAATAAAAATAATAATTATTATTTATTAATTATATTATAATTTTTTCTTTCAGATAGGTGGATTGGTTTTGTCTGTAATGCTGACCAGGAGAATTTCATAGAAGAAAAAATATTCATAAGATGATTTCATAATATAAATCGTAAGTAAATGTAAATCGTTCTCTCTCTCCGTCTTTCTCTCTCTCTCCCTGTCTTTTTCTCTCTATGTATACTGCAACAACATAAACGCTGTATTATGATAAAATAAATATTGTATGTGTTGCAATACTTGATAGAAGGATGTCAAAACCTCTGGAAACTTCCTTGCTAAAAAGCACTACACAAATGTTGTAGTAATAATAATAGTAATAAGTGTAATAGTAATAATAATTACAATATTAATTAATTAATTAACATTAATAAATTTATTAATTAATATTAATAAATTTTTTAATTAATAAATTTATTAATTAATATTAATAAATGATTTGGTGTATATTTTTTAAAAACATGCTTATAAATTCTCATTACTACGTATACCTCGATATGTGCACTATATTCTTAACCTTGAATAAATGTCACATATGTGTTTGTTTGCATGTGTGTGTTCACTGTAATTATGAACAAAAAAATTTCTTTCTCTCGGTGTTGGAATTCGTGGATTAGATTTGACTTTCCACAGGAAATAGGAAACAGATGACACGTCAGACACTCAATCTGTAACCAAAAAGTATAAAAATGTATAAGAATTTTATAAATAAAAAACATTTTTAAAGTCTTCCTGAAGGCTTTTAATGCGTTCATTCTCAACTGTTCTGCCTATCGCTTCTTAAACCAGAACCAAAACATTTTATTATTCATCCGACAACATATTGTATTGAGTAATGGACAGACATCAACATAAATAATAACATTAATAATAACAATAATAATAATAACAGCATAGTAATAATAATAACAATAACAGTTTCCCATGTATGTATGTGTATGTACGTATGCATGTGTGTATGTATGTGTGTGTATGCATGTATGTGTATTCATGTACGTACGAAACAAAACATGCAGCACATTAATCAACTCGACACTAGTAAGTTAATTAGCATTACATTAACATAAATTAACCAATTAATTAACATTAACGCAAAATTAATTACCCGTCGCTAACGAAATTGGTGATAAACATTTCAGTTTAATTAAGACTAAAAAACTAACCAATGCTATACCATATCTCTCTTTCTATATATATATATATATATATATATATATATATATATATATATATATATACATACATAACTGTGATGAAACTAAAAATATGTATAAGTATATATGAATGTATGTACGCATGTATGTATGCGAGTGAGTATATATGTATGTGTGTGTTTATGTATGTACACACATTAAACCCTCAGACAGAATTAATAATAAAACATAGCAAAATATCATTATCACCATCATCATCATTCTAAATAAAAGATCATTACTATCATCATCTTTTTCTTAATCGTCATCATCATCACCATCGCTGATAGCTCTTAGTGATGATGACGATCGTGCCTCTTATGAAAGAAAGAAAGAAAAGTATAACGCATCATTATTATCATTATAACGGTTATAACTTTTTTTATACAGTAAAGTAACTAACTATTTATTTAATCAATCAATTAATCAATCGATCAATCAATCAATTAATCAATCAATTAATCAATCGATCAATCAATCAATTAATCAATCAATTTATAGCCAAGATATTTTGCTAGTGTCTGTAAACATAATGATGATGTCAGTTCATAATAATAATGATAAGAATAGTACTACATCTCCATCATCCTTCATCATCATCATCATCTACCAAACTGATTATCACTATCATCATTACTCTGCTTAGTTACTTTAACCATCACCACCATCATCATCATCATTCAGATTATCCAGAGCACTATCATTCTTGCTACCTTCAACTTCAACTTGGAAATTATCGTCGTCATCATCATCACTGTCACCAGAGTCTATAAAAATACGAATCCACCATCATCATCATCAGGACGTTATCATCACCGCCAGCATCATCATCACCACCGCCTGCCAAATGAAACTATAGAAGGATACTAAATGTTAAAATTCCATAACTCAAACTCAACAGACATTAACGTAGTAGGACAATGAAAAAAAACGCCAACAACAACAACAACAACAACCACGACAATAATAATAATGACGACAACAACAACACAAAGAACATCAGTAACAGAAATCAATAACAAAAAACAGAAATCATATTTATCAGCGCCAAATAAAATAGCTCATCCCCCATGGAACACTTTATCTCATGAGGTACTAGACACAGCTACGTTCAAAAATACACAAACACAGATATACATACATACACACACGCATATACAAATACATACACATACACGCGCACACATGCGCGTACGAAAAAACATAGAAACGCAGGATAGACACATGTGAAATGAACATAGTCATGACCGTTCAACATTCTGTAGTTAATTAATAATAATTATTAATAATATAAAAAATAATTATAAATAATTATTATGACGCGTGTGTGATAAGTATTAAAAGCATTTTAAAATTGAAAAGCAGACAAAATGGCCCCACTCAATGTTAAAATAAAGCAACACACACGCACAAACATATTCCACACACAAAGAACTATGAAAACCAACACACACACACACACAAATGAGGTTAAAGTTCATTAATGTACTCTTAACACAAAATCTTCCCCTCTCTCTCTCCCTCACACACACACACACACACACACACACACACACACACACACACACACACACACACACACACACACACACGAGACAAACATCCGAATACTAATATCTGAACAGATCCTCCAATTGTATTTGTCTCAAGAAATCTTTTGTCGAACACACAGACACACACATAAACACACACACACATATTATATACACATGTATGTTTATACATATGCTTACATATATGTACACACATTTTTTGTATTAATTTATAAACTATAGACAATGAAACATATATATATATGATATATATATATAGTATGTTTTCTTAAATAATAATAGCAATAGTATATTAATTATTATTATATAGCAGATAATTTTTATATTTTCAAGACTTAAAAAAATAATAGAAGACTCAAAATAAATAAATAAATAAATAAAAGACAAACACACTGAAAATAAAACTTAATTCTATTTTTAAAATTAAAAAAAGAACGAAAAATACGATCAATCAATCAATTATTATTATAATTATATATTAATGCTGTTGCTGTCGTCAATATTTGTACAAGCCATAACTATCCTCTCTCTCTCTCTTTCTCCCTCTCTCTCTCACACACACAACTCATCACCACTATATTGTCAGTCCCAAAAACCAATTTCACCATTACTATCAACCACAATTGCACGTTTACCACCACCACTATCATCATCATCATTAATAATAAGAATATTGTTTAATCAGAACAGGATGCATTTGAACGTGGCCTCTCTGCCATGGATTTGTCTTTTTTTTATTTCAATGTACATCATAAATTGTTGCCTTCATCACAAACAGCATCATCATCATCACAATCGTTATTACAACAACATCATCATCATCATCATCTTCTTCTTCTATCATATACACATGAGTTTCATATTTCACATTTGAAACCTTGCAACCTCACCTGCAAAGAATACAAAAAAAGAGTTAATGATAATAATATTTAAAACACAAATGAAATCATATCATTAATAATTAACAAGAGCTTGCAGAACACAACCAACCAACCGACCAAACCAAGCAACCAACCAACAAACCAACCAAGCTACACTAAACCGACTTACTTACTGACCTGCCTAACCTATCGATTGTATGGGTGGTAGGTAGTGGCATTAGTATCGGACTGCCATGTCCCCCGGCGTGCCACCTTTGTACCGGCTGCTGCCTGCGTGCTCTGGTAACTTGAAGGCCCTTGAAGAAATGAATAAATTAATAATTAATGATAATAATTAATAAATAATCAAGAGATGAATGAATTATTAATTAATGGCCCATAAGTAATAAATGAAGAGCTATAGGTCTTTTTGTAATAATTACAGGCCAACTTTGTGATGAATAATTTATAACTAATCATATTGTATATGTTAATTTGTGTGTGTATACTGTATATGTTACTTACTCACACACACACACACACACACACACGCACGCACACACCCACACAAATTGATTGATACAAACAGAAAGGAAAAAAGAACAATGTTAAAGGAAATAAGCAAGTCAAACAGCATGCTATTAAAAACTCAACTATGAAAAACACTAAATATAGTTAGGCTCCATAAAAACTTTAACTACCAAATCAAAATTAGCATAGAAAAGCTAATTAAATAAAAAACACAAAAAATAAAATAGGGGTATTTGAAAATGAAAAATGTAACCAGAAAATAAAACCCCGACTCGAGTTTAGGATGCTAACCCAGACTCACCATATGCTCCGTCTCCATAACTACCGATGGCTGAATGATCGTACGGATGACTGGCTGCCCCGTAATGTCCACCGCCCCCATAATAGCCATAATAATCATAGCCTCCATAGGGCGGGCCTCCGTACAACCCGTTCATCTCGTAGCCACCCATGCTGTTGTAGTAACCACCTGCTTATTGATTCATATGTTTTGTTGTCTCACTTGTTGATAATCTTAAAATAGACTGTAGGACTGTGAAAAACTTATAAAATATTCACGTCGAATGACTAGCTAACAATGGTTTAATAACTTGACTGGGGCACCAAATTCAATTCAAAGATAATCTATAAAGAAACAACTACAAACATGATCTTGAGTAACATGTACATATGTGAAATGGTGGACATAATTCTAACCCTTTCCTCTGAATGCCCCCCGCATGGGACCTCCCCCACGGCCCCCTCTGTACCCATGGGCCTCTTGTTGTTCCCTGGAAACTGCCTTCCTCACATCAAGCTGGATTGTTGTAAATAAGATGACATTCATTAATTACAGCAAATATTTTACTCATTACAAATCCAACACGATAAACACTTTGTGAGTAACTATTGATGTCATTTCTGAATGAGTAGAAACAAAAAGCTACCATTTTATCTCCAAAAGGGACTTTAGCATTTTGACACATCTGTTCAACAATATCCTCATTGTCAAAAGTTATGAAACCAAATGCTCTTCTCTGGTTTTTCACCTTGTCATAAGGCAACTCAACTAACTCAACCTGTCAATCAAAGATAAATAGTGATTCAAACGTGATTCAAGAAATTTCAAGTGGGAAAATTTGAATTACTTTTCCATATTGACTAAAATGTTCTGCAATTTCTTCCTGGGACAAATTAGTGTCGAGACCACCAACAAAAATTTTCTTGCATGGTGGATCCTTGCCATAGGATGATGGCCCCACACCACCAGCAACTGCGGGCTTGGGGTCTATATTTTTCCCACCCAAAATGTGATTTTTGTCAGCACAAACCTACCAAGAAGTATAATGAAATGGCAGATTAATAAAAAACGATACTCAACAATCAGTCTTTCATCCATTGCATGAAGATTACAACAAAACAGTGATTAAAATAGAGCTAACTTTTTGTACACTTGAGGCATCTTTAAAGAGAACAAAGCCAAAACCTCTTGATAGGCCAGTGTTTAAATCAATTTTGATATTCGCATCGAGGACATCTCCAAATCTTTGAAAGTATGTTTTCAAATCATCTGAAAAAAATGAAAAGCCAATCTCAGCCAGGTTAATTCATCACAAATTGGGAACAAAAAAAAGTTAACAAAGAAAAAATTCACTAACCAACGGATGACTCCCAGCTTAGACCCCCAACGAATATTTTCCTAAACAAAATAAAATTTTATTTCAGAATTAGGAGATTCACAAATCGAATTTAATTTTAAAAAGCGAACAAACCGCAGAAACGAAAATTTAAAACTCAGACGGAAAAAAATGAAGAGAGAAATGGAGAAAGAAAATGAAGAAATCAACATTCATGGTAGATGGGCGCATGCTACAAGTACAAACGACCAGCCAGCACTGATGCAAGAAAATTTAAGAAACGCCATTAAACCTTTCGTCATTATCGTTCTTCGAAGCATTTATTTTGCTTCCGTTACCTCTTCCTTGAGCGTAGGCCATCTTAAAACATATTATTCTTAAAATTCAACTAAATAATTAACAACTACAACTCAATTTTGTAATGGATCGCCGGTCAAAAATATCACGTGACATCCGATTAAAAAGAAAAGTGTTGAGCTGAAGCTTGGTTCGCCGAACACACTAAAAAAGAGCAAATTCCTCATTCTGACGTCTCTAGAACCAGCGAAGTCAAAATTCGCAATTTCTACTTACTAATAATTTATTAAACCATTATTGAAATTGAAATTCTTGCATAGCGAAATAGCTTAACGGACAATTAGATGGCGAATTGAATGTAAATCATCAATCCTTTGTAAGACCAAAGATCAGCCAAGCACATGTGAACTTGTGTGTATGTATGTATGTGTGCGTGTGTGTGTGCGTGTAAAGTCTTAACCACTACCCAATAAAGAACACAATACAATGATAAAATAAAATGGAAAAATAACACTAGTCGTCAATTGTTATAATAATCAGTATTATGCATTGCAATTGGTCATACTGCTGACACAAATACAGACACACACACGTATATTTATATATATATATATACATATATATGATTGATATATTTATATATATACATGCATATACATATATATATATATATATATATATAATTTTCTTTAACGTGATAATATTCAAACGTTTTTCACAACTTGATAGGGGCAATTTTAAAAAAAATGAATAAAAATATATATAATAATTATATATATATATATATATACAAGTCTTCAATGAAAATCATGATTGTCTAGTGGAATTTCAAACAAAACGAAATTGAAAATTAAATAAAATTTCAGTGAACGTTTAATTGAAATGCACAATTCAACAGGGCTGCTGTGAGCTTGTAATTGTGATAAAGGAGAAAAATTATCGCAAAAAATATATTGAAATAGCACCATGCATATAACAACTTGAATTGAACTGTGTGAATTAAACATGGAAAGAATTGTATAATACAAATATTTGAAGTGTTAGCATAATCAATCAATCAGCCAACCAATTAAAATACAAATCAATCAATCGATCAATAGATCAGCCAACTGACAGATCAATAATCAATCAACTATTCAATCAACGATCAAATGAACGAACGAACGAACGAACGAATGACACATCATTTAATCAGCCAACCAACCAATCAATCAATCAACCGACAAATCAATCGCATAATCAACCAGTCAATCAGGTAAGGCACTCGATGTTTATAAATATTCATGCCAGGGTTAGTCCGGCCTCCTTATAAACTTCAAAAATTTTCTCAAGGGCGGTTATGTAGGCAGCTGTTCTCAGGTCGAGTCCCAAGTCGTATTTCTGGGCGTTCGACATTAGGTCCTGAAATTAGTGGAAGGAAAGAATGAATTAGTGAATGGATGAATTGGCAGATGAATGAATGGATTGATTAATGGTTAGGTTGATGCATAGGTAGATAAACGAACGAATAAACAAACAAATCAAAAAACGAACGAACGAACGAACGAATGAATGGAATTACCCTGGACGCATTTTCAATAGTGTATTCCAGACTAGAATATACAATGTCCGTCTCTGATGCACCCTAGATGAATGAACGAATGAATGAATGAATGAATGAATGCATGTAGGTGTAGATAAATAAATGTATAGATAAATGTAATAACAAATGACTAATTGATTTGGGACAGAATGAAAGACGGCGGAATAAATGAATGAATAAAAACATAATAAATAATAAAAATAAAAAAAAGGAATAATAATACGAATACAATTATAATGATTAAGAAAATCTAACAGCAATTCTCTTTCCGAATTGTTCACTAGGAGTCACTGGGATTGAACCAGGCTTCCGACCAAAAATTCTTTCCAGAGATTTCTGAACGCTATCTGATGACGACGATGATGATGACGTTTACAATGATGTTTATAGTGTCAATCATGATAATGATGAGACAAACCAGCCAGTCAACCATAACCAGTCAACCAACCAACCAACCAACCAACAAACCAACCCACCAACCAGCCAACCTAGTAACATATAATTAGTATCTTTGGTGTATTTAAAGGTCAGCCTGCCGAAGCTGACGTGCCTGATGTTCTTTAGCCACTCAAGGTAGGAAACAATCACCGCTCCGCTGTTAATGAACAAGTCAGGCAGAACTAATTTGTTACTTTCCAACAAAACTTGGTAAGCCTGTGTGTGCGCGTGCGTGTGGACGTGCGTGTATGTGCGTGTGTGCGTGCGCGTGTGTAGATAAATTTGATAAATTGACAAAAAAAATTAAAAAGTATCAAATTTTCAACAAAACAAAAAATCCAAACATTCCGAAACTGAACAAACATAGTAAGGACCTTACAAACAATTCAAGCCCCACAAACGATTCCCCCAGCCAACCAACCCACCTGAGGCGTGATGGGCCCATTGGCTCCCTCTGCAATGACCTTGGCCTTGATGTGGCCGACATTTCCGCTGTGTATGACGTCATGAGTGGCGCAAGGGCAGAGAATGTCGCATTCCTCTTCCAAGATGGAGTCACCGGAGTAGGCCGCCGCCCCTGGAAAACCCACCAAAGTTTTGTGCTCCTGTTTGCATCATTAGCAATATATCACCATCATCAGTATCATCGTCAGTATCATTAACAGTATCACTAACCTTATCATTAACCTTATCAAGTTAGTATCAATCAGCTCTTAACTCAATCAATCAAAGAGACAATCAGTCAGTCTGTCAATCAATCAACCAATCAAACCAACCAACCGACCAATCGCATCAATCACATTTCAATCAATCAATCAACCAACCGACCAATCACATCAATCCTACTACCATCTACCACGAAGCAACAACAGCAACCGACTTTATAATACTCTTCCAACTCATCGGGGTTAATCCCTTCATCGTTGTAGATGGCCCCTCCCACTTCCTCCACCCCAATACACCTGGCCCCGGCACTGTGCAACAACTTTGCCGTATGTAGGCCCACGTGCCCGAACCCCTGCACTATAAAGGTCTTGTTGTAGAAGCCAGGTGTTAGGCCCACTGAAGATAAATAAAGGGCCTCTTTCATAAAAGTTCGAAGGCCGTAGTAGATGCCCTGGTTTGTTGGAAGGGGGGGGGTTATTTTTGTGGTTGGTTGGCGCTTGGCGGTTATGTTACTGGGTGGTGTTGATGGGTGGGTCGGTTATTTGATGTTTAATGTTTAGGAATTAAAAGAGCAAACAACGACAACATACACACAAACATATACACAATCATACACATAAACATACACACAAACATACACACAATTATACACACAATTATACACACAATCATACACACAAACATACACACAAACAAACACACAAACATACACACAAACATACACACAAACATACGAACCAGTCCAATAGCAGCATCTCGCCCCCTAATACCGCCCTGAGAGATTGCCTTGGCAGTGACTGTTGCTATGGCATTGAGGTCCATGTGACCTTGAAAAATAATAACAGCAACAACAATTATAACTATAATAATAATACAAATAATAATAATAATAACATTATAAACAACAACAACAACATCAACAACAATAATAATGATCACCATTACCTAATGTCGACTTGTAGGTGTCTGCCATATAACTCATCATAAGATCCGTGGCCCCTAAATCCGGGGCAGGTACATCTATGGCTGGGCCTAAATTCATTTTTAAACTTTCATCATCATCGTCGTCATCTTCATAATCATCATCATCATCGTCTTCGTAATCATCATCATCATCACCGTCATCATCATCATCATTATCAGTACAGAAATGAAAGTAAAAAAGAAATTCAAACATGTATTAACCGACCGATGAAGCTTCTCTTAGCCATTTCAATCGTCAGCCTTCGAACAATTTTCTCCAATTCGACATCTGAATATTTGGTAGGGTCGATTTGCACTCCGGCGTGTGCACCTCCAAATGGGACCCCAACACACGCCAATTTATACGTGGTTAGGGCTGCATTGGCTTTCACATATTCAGCATCTATCTTGTCACTGAATATGATTCCTTGGAGTTTAGTGAAAAAATTGTGAAATATTAAATTACAGTAAAGTAATATTTACTTATTTGCTATTAGTAGCAGAGCAGTAAGAACTTAAGAGTTCAGGTACAAACGCACACACACACACACAGACAGACACACAACCAAGCATGAAATTCAAGATGATCAACACTTTAACAGTTATTTTGAAAACAATAAAACTAAAAAGCAAATGGCCAGAGACCTCCTTTGCATGGTTTTCGATGATGACTGTGTTGGGCCCTCCAGGCTGTGATAAGTTCATAGTCGCCATTGTCTCTTTTGATCGGGAATGTCATAGAAAGAAATGTATTACACGGTTTAATTATATTCAACATTCCATTCACTTTGCGTCTTCTCTCTCTCTCTGGAGTCCGATCGCCGAACGATTCTACTAATCTATCTTCTAAAATCAGGGCGGCCCGGTCGTAATATTGATCGACGGACTGACGGAACCCAACATCTCCGTCAGGAAGGGTGGCCACCGTGTAAGATTTTGTCAAGGAAGTTTGAAGTGCCCGAGCGTACACTGATCGCATGTGACGCATTGAGTTGAAGCTGGAAATCATTATAAAAATTAATTTTGAAAAGAAATTTTACAATTTGAACGAGCGTCTCTTGCTATTAAAATGAGAAATTTGCAAGCAAAAATGTTAACAACGATGGTCGCAATGTTAACTTTTCGACTATGGATCATTGGACGGACGGATTCTTGATTGAATGTGATTAAAACTGACACTACAAAATAAAATTTAATATTTATTATAAGTTTTAATAGTAATTGATAATTTAATAATTTTAAAACTACTTTAAATATGTAAAAAATAGTGTAATTAATTAATTTGTAATTTTTCAGTCATTTTTTTTATACATTTGTCAACTTTAAATTTTATGCATTTAAAAATTTTTAAAACTAAAAGTGGATTTTTCTAATTATTTTTAATTGAAAATTTCCGATTTTGTTTTCCCTAAAGTCCGTTTTCATTAAGAAAATAATCAAAAAATTTGATTATACTAAACGTTTTATAAACTTCTAATTTTAGTTAATTTAAATTTAAATAAAACTTAATTGATTTTCGTGTTTTGTGATATAAAATAAATTCATCCTGAGTTTGTTCAAACTGCCAATATAGATAGTTTCTGCCTAATTTACAAAATTTAGGGAGGAATCCCAAGACCACCAAGTCTGCAGTATGAGAAATGGATCCGACACGCAGTCTTCATCTAGAGAAAAAAATGGGTACACATCTGAACAGTTGGAAGCTGTTAAAAGGTATTAAAACATAGTAAATTCAGAAAATTTAAGTAAATTTTACTTGAGTTTTTAATTTAAATTATTTAATAATTTAATTGAAGATTTTAATTTTTGTCAACATTCAGAGTAATTATAATGAAAGTAATCAAATTCATTAACAACTAAGTCTGGTTGAGTTATTTCTAATCTTTTCCTTCTCTAATCAATTTACTAATTTTATCAACCGATCTAGGATTAATAGAACGAAAGATTTGTACCAGATTTTAGATGTGCCAAGAAATTGCTCTGAAGATGATCTTAAAAGAGCCTACAAAAAGATGGCTCTAAAATTTCACCCTGATAAGAATCAGGCCCCCGGAGCTACTGAAGCTTTTAAAAGTGAATTTATATTTTATATTAAATATTTTTCAATAATTCATATAAATTTTTTTTTATAGTTAGTTTTAAACTTTTAAAGGCATCAATAAGGCCTTCTCCATTTTAAGTGATGTAGATGAAAAAGATAAATATGAAAATGCCGGTCGGGATGTCAGTGAAGATGGTCGCAATGATTTTTACCATGAGGAGTTTTTCAACCATTTTGATCATTTCAATGATCATTTTGCTTTCAATGGCTTCTACTTCTCTGGTTACTGTTATCACTATTATTATTATTATTATTGTTATTGTTATTTGGCCTCTCATCAGCATATTATTAATATCTAATTAGAATACTGATAGTCTATTTTTGACATAATCTAGTTAAACCCTTCAGCTGTTAGATATTTATTTTAGATTTTAGCTGGAAGAAAATTATCCTATAAAAATAACATTCATCCACACTATTTGTCAGTCCCTTATTGAATCAATTATATTGAAAAAGTATTAATTTATTTATTTTATCTCTATTATTTACTTATAAAAATGTTAGATGAAAATATGTGCCTGCTAATTTCTTTTTGATTTTAATTGATTAACGCTTTAAACTTGAAAATAATTCGAAGTTTGATTAATTTCCAGAGGAAATGTTCAATCTTTTTACAGAGCAGGGAGCCTTCCATCCAAGTGCGTTGAAAAAATATTTTATTTTATTTTATTTTTCCGTTAAATTTGGTAATTCGTTCTATAATCTTTGGTCATTTTTACATTTAACTGAAAGAAATTAATTCATTTTTACCTTTTAGTAGTAGTAATATTAGTGGTAGTGGTAGCAGTAGTAGAAATGGTAGTAGCAGTAGTGGCAGCAGCAGCAGTAGTAGTAGTAGCAGCAGCAGCAGTAGTAGTAGTAGTAGCAGCAGTATTGGTAGTAGTATTTATATTGTAATTTTAATTTTTCATCCACCAGATAATTTCCAAAGCCAGCAGAGGAGAACTAGCAGGCCTAAAGCGTCATCTTCATCATCACATCGTCAGCAGCAACAACATTTTAAACAACAACAACATCAACAACAATTTAGACAGAGGCATCAACAAAAACAACAGCAACAAAGACATCAACAACAACAACAACAACCACAGCAAAGACAACCTAATCAACATAGGATGTCTAGTTATGAGGTTATTATTATTATTACTATTGTTATTATTATTATTACTATTATTATTATTATTACTATTATTATTATTAATATTTTTATTCATAGTTTCTGAGTTCGTACAGCTTCCTGGTCCAGGTATCGCCACTTATATTTATGATCTTTCTCTGCACATTGAACCTCTTCCTGACCTACGACGATGTTTACTCGCTACACAAAGATAAGTTGGTGATGATGGTGAGGAGGATGAGGAGGAAGAATGTGATGATGATGATGATGATGATGAGAAATGTGACGATGATGATGATGATGATGATGATAGCGATTGATTGACTGACTAATCGATTGATTGATTGATTGATTGATTGATTCATTCATTCATTCATTGATCGATCGATCGATTGATTGATTGATAAATTTGATACTACTGCCGACACCTCTTCCTTATAAATAGCGCAAACAACTGATAAATACCCCAGCAAATACGCCCTTGAGAGACGAACCTCGCGGTTTGACATACCCTTCTACATGAAGCCCGAATACAAGGAGAGGTACTCGGGACTT